CGCTTCGCCCACGGACGTGGCTGAGAGGGGCCCGCGCTGGGCGAGCACGGCCGGCCCTTTGAACTTCGCTAGGTGGAAGCGCGGGGCGGGGGCTGGAAGAGCCCGGGCGGAGACCGCCCGCAGGGGCCGCGGCGTTGGATCTCCCTCTGATTTCGGAGCAGACGTGTACAGTGTTGCGGACGCAAAAGTATTGTAAAGACCAGCTCTGTAAGATGACCGTTCTTGCAATATACCTGCTAGGTTTTGAAACTGGAAACTGCCTACATGTAAGCTCAGGTACCTGCTCACCTTGTGCCTCTGAAAAGTTGAAAATAATACAACAGAAAACATTAAAATTGTCTTGTGCTGGAGGCAACTCACATTCAAGACACTAAAAAGGGACTCGTGTGACATCCTCACTGGGGCCCTTCTAAAGGACAGCAGACTTAGGGCTATCTCAAATTTTGGAATGGAGGGTGGGGAGACTCACTAGAAACAGAGTGGGCTCCTTCATTGGATGGGTTCAGGTAGAGGCTGTACAACTATCTGTTGCAAATGTTTTCAGTTGAATGCCTGCAGATGGACTTGTTTTTGACTTCCATAAATCTTTTGGGAAACAGATACAAGCAAAAGAAGGAGGTGGAGAACCAGCTGGCTTCTTTGAAACCCTTTGTTGATAGTGGCCAAGCTGAAGAAGAACAAATTCGAGAATTCTATTTGCTGCAGATCAAGAAGTGGATCAATATAAGCCTGGAGGAAATTGAAAGCATTGATCAGGAAATTGCAATCCTGAATCAGCGGAGTGCTCTACAGGTGAGATAGTGGCATCAGTTGTATTGATCAGACTGGGGGCCTTTTTTATACCCTCCCTCTATTTTCTCTCAGAAAATGTGAGAACTATAATGTAGGATCTATAATAGGCACAATATAGTTTGAAATATAAAGGGGGGAAACTACTGTTCCTTTCTGATCAAAAGTAAGAAAAGTCCCCAAATCTTGGTGGTACCCATGTGTATAAAAATTTGGTGCCAAGTACTTTGAATTATTATCTCTTTTTTTCCAAAAACAGTTAGAATCCCTGGCCACCAAAATTCCTTACTGAATAGGTACAAATATGTATAAATTTGTAAAGCTTCAGCTTACAGGCAACAGAATTCATCTGAATAGTCGTGAGAGAAATATCCATATTTGGGGGATTTGGGCTAGAATCTCCCCTATTGTCTCTTTCTCTTGAAAAAAAAATTGAATTCTGGCTTTGTGTAATATAAGATCATTCAGTTGTGCAGTCTACCACCTGCAGTCTGAAGTGTGGGGTGGCACTCTATCTCATTTTAAACACTTGTGCCAAAGCAACCAAAGCTGGCAAAATAGTATGACAAGGTGCTTTGTGGAAGAGCAGAGAAACAGGGAGAGATTTGGCAAGAAAGAGAAGCAAGAATTCTGGAAGAAAAACTGAGAGCATTTCTTGTTTCCAAAGCTATCCCGTAAAGCACTCAACGTGACTGGCCAGCTGATACACAATATGACAATTTAAAATCTGGTACAAAAATAAAGTATTAAAAATCCAGCTCAGGGGGCCTGGTGGAAAAGAAGAGAGAATAGCTGACTCCATCCATGCTTCTTTGAAGAATGTTTATGGAATATGTGGAATACTTGCACTATAGAAGGTTGCCCACTTTGCTTTAGCACAAGTGAAGCCTGGCCACATTGGCCCAAAAACCTGTGTTGTCTTCCAGGCATTGCCAGCTTGAAAGCCCAAGCTGCTCTCCTGCCTGGCCTATTTCTCAACTCAATTTCCCATCTATGAAATGGAAGTCATTCTTGCCACAGAAGCACTTTGTGCACATAAAATGTGTTCTGTGCACAGTTGACAGAAAGTCATCTGAGGAAGACCAAATATTACTTGGGGGAGAACAGGTATTAGCATTTTGATGACTTTGATAAATTGTGATGGCTTTGAAAAGGATGAATGTTCATCACCTGTTCGAGGACAGTGCATTTCTT